TTTTTCTTCATCAGAATTCGAATCAAATTTTATTGCAATGATATTATTATTTCATCATTTAGTATTTCAATTATAATAATTGTTTCCCCACGATGATTCATGGGATTATATCAACATAATAATTTTGATTCTAAAATTAAAATTTAGTATGAGATCATGATTGAAAAAAGAATAATATTTTTCCATCACCCAGGAAAATGAAAAAACATTGAATTCCTCCCACTCCCCGAGGCATTAACATTATAAAACACGAGGCGACAATAAACCATACGTAAAATATATTCTGGAATTCCTTTTGGGACGCTGATATATGGCCCCGAGGAAGGTTGGGCCCCGGATCGTGTCCGTTCCGTGACCGAAGTATATCATTCGCTCGTTCCTCGTATATGCGTGCATGTCCACTGCCGTGTCTTCTTTTCCCTCCACCATCTTACGTGTGTGTTATACCCCCCCTTCTTTCCCTCTTCACCAGACCCCCGTCCACCCCCAGGCCCCCTTGTCCCCTCACGTGAACCCAGAGTAAGTAAGACGAACGATTTGGTTTCGTTACGGGGGGTGTCAAGGGGGTGGTGGTTTTGCCCACCTGCGTATCGAACTGCCGTGCCATGTTTTGTTAACCCCCTCCTCCCCCTCCCCCCTTCTCCTACCCTGAGGAGATTCGTGAGGCTGTGTACGGTGGGTCGTGCGGTGAATCTAAAATTTTGCGAGGGGGAAAAATAAGAAAAAAAAGGGAGAAAAAAGTTGAAATAAAACGATTCCCGATACTCCGAGTGGGAAATCATCGCAATAGGATGGTAAAGGGGGGGTCGGAGGGGGGTAGGGTGGGGTAAAAGGAGATTTGGTGGAGCGAGGTGTCGCCTTACAACCGGCTTGCAAGTTGGGAGGGGAAAAAAGCCTCTTTTGCATGCCATCTGACCGTCTCGACGTTTTTTTTTAACCTCGGGGCCCAATCCTCTGGGGGTTTTTTTTTGGGGGACTTCAACGCGTCGGTTTGGGATTTTTCGAAATATATTTGGGACTGGGACTCTTTTGATAATGACTTGTTTTCCTGTTTTTGTCGATGGGGGAATTTTAATTCGGGGTTTGAGATGGAATGTCATGTCCGCTTTTCGATTTTCCGGGGGACAATGAAAATTTCAGATGAAAATCTGATAATTGTCGGGTTTTTTTTTTTTTCAAAAATTGTTTTTCATGTTTTTTTCATGCGAGAGGGGCTGTTTGGGGATTTAAACTGAATTCAGATTTAAAATCTTGGGGTTTCAGGGAAAAGAGGAAGGCAGAGGCGATATCTTATTCAGGAGTTACATTCGTTCTTCTTAAGGCAAACCCTCGGCGATCGGCGACATTCTTGCTCACGTCACGTAACTTCGAGGCTCGATTTGCCCTCCGGAGCTTTTCCCCATGCCATCATTCCCACGATCGCAAAATCATCCGGTCGGGCCCAAAAAATTAAGGCGAATTATTCCCCTGACGCCATAAAACGTGGAAATTCCGTATAATCGGTAATTGCTGCACACAATATCAAGATTTCTACTTTCTTCAACAAATAATTATTCCAGCCCACACCGCGATGATTTTCAAAAATTTTTCTCAAAAAAAAAAATGGCTCCCTGATACCTACACTTGCCGAAAAAAAATAAATTATCATTAATTTTACGCGGGACAATAAAAAAAAAACTTTCGAATCACATCAGACCCAACGAACCCAAAAAATCCTCAACTTCATTTCCCCAATATTTCCACTCAGTCCCAAAAATTCGTAACACCCCAGTAAAAAAAAAATCCAAATTCCTCATTCAACTTTTAATCTCAATTAATGCCATTCCCGAATCTCTCCCTAATTGCGATAATTCCTCTCCCCTGTCTTATTACCCGTAAACTCTGGAAGAACTGAACCCCTTTCCCGGTATTTCTGTCCCCACGGCAATACAACTGCAATATACAAGTGAAACGTGGGGCCAAAGTATACGCAAGTACGGGTCGGAGACATTTGGTATGAGAAACGCGTAGCTACGCAGAAAGACTACATAGCCCGTAGCTCAAGTTGCCAGTACACCCCCCCTTGTTCCCCCCGTTCCACCCCCCCGGAGGGGGGGCCGAGGTAATCCTCTCGGGGGCGTGAGTTACAGCCTCCATTCCCTCCACCTCGCCCTTTTCTTCCTCCTTTCATTTTAAAGCCCGAGGGTTGCCAGGAAAGATGGAAAGTAACACGAAGAAACTTTCCAGTTGATACGGAAAAAACTGAAAAAAAATCGGGAAAAGAGGGAAAACGCTGTCTTGTGCCACAGCTGGATGCCATTAGTCACATCTAATTAATAACTCGGGTTAGGTAATAGGAAATATGGTGGCTGGTTAACGAGCGAAATGAAGGCGTACAGAGCTTTAAAGCTCTTGGGAGGTGAGAAATGCGATGGGGTGAGGGTGTTTTGGGTTTTCCGGGGGATGACGAAGTCCACCATAAATACGTGAAATGGAACACCCACTCGTGCGAAATACAAGAACGGGAGACTCTTCTCAGGGGCAGGTCGACTACTTCCGGTTTGATGTTTAAAAGAATGCGATGTCTCTGGTGGGGAATCATGTCTGGGGTTAGAGTGATCGACGGCTTTATCAGTGCATTCACCCAAAAATCTTCATCAATTCTATCCGTTCATCCCCTCCATCCCTTTCTCCCCCCTTCTTCGACGTTCCTTGCAAATTGGTACTCCTCAAATGATGCATGTTCTCTGCACAATAACCCTGAGAAAGCTTCAACAATTCCGATCCCGAAGATAAATTCCTTGCGGTGAATCGGGTTTTCTCTGAGCAATTCACTTACCCTGATTTGATTGGTTCTCGCATATGATCGCGGGCCCGTTTGACTCGCAGTCATCCCCGGGAAGCCAGAGGGATATTTTTTGCGAATTGTGAGAGTTATACTGAAGGCAGTAGCAATCAGCGTATTGGCTGTTCTTATTAAACTTGGCAGCAGCCGGGGATTCCCCGTACTACTTTCCAAACCCCAAGATCGAACCGAAGGGTAATAAATAACTGAGAGAAGAATTAGAAAATTTCTTATGCAATTGCGTGTGAGAATGCTTCATCCCCCAGAGATATTCCGGGGGTGTGAGGGTTTGAAAAAGCTCCCGGTATTTCTCAAGAAATGCCCGGGAGGCAGGGAATATTTTCCCTGGATGTACTGGGTACCTCCTACACACCATTTTCTTACCCTTCGCATTCCATCCCACTCCATCCCACCCCATCCCACCCCATCCCACCCCCTCTCACCCTTTTACTGAACTTACCATTAAATTTAGTCCATCCCCCGGTTAAACACCCACCCGTATTTATTTTTCAAGGTCTTATCCCCATAATTTTCTGAATTTATAATAAATAAATATTGGGGAATTAATTGAAAATTCACGTGTGCGTGGGTTTTTTTGGAGAAAAAAATGGAGACGAAGAAATGAAGCGCCATTATGAGAAAAAATGATCTTCCCGTTCTGTCACATTTTCTACTTTACCGAGACGTATGGGGGTGGCTTAATTGGGGGAAGCCCTCCTCCTTTATTTATACGTAAAGTCTATAGCACGTGGCCCTCGGGAGGTGCTTCTAGGAAAAGAGTATAACCGGGGGGGTTGACAAATAACCCTTATAAACGTTGGCCCATAACTCGAGGCCCCACCACCCCCGAGGAACACCGGGGCATGACAACTTGGAATGAGAATCATGGCAGCCAACCAGTGGTAGAATAGAGAATGAGTAGAATGGCTGGAGGAAAAGCCCCAGATGAGGGATACGAGTTGGGCGCCAGGTCCAGTTGATTACGTCGCGATAATAAACATGATACAAACTTCACTATTTTCTCCGGTATGTATTTTTTTTAACCCACACCGCTGCCAATAACAGATAGTTGTCGGTGATAGGATTGTAAATATGACGCGTTTATTGCGGGGGAATAATTCTCGTGTGGGTGTGAGCGAAAATTTTGGAGAGAAACGGTTTGGCATCGCAATCACGAATCATCCGGACCAGTCACGTTTACGTCCATCCAATTGTTCATCATCTAGCCCTGGCTTGTTGTATTTTTTTTTTCAGTCGCTGGGAATTTTATGACTCGATTTCGCCGACGGTTTATCATGTCGATGGTTAATGGGCTTAATTCGTGTGATATTTGTTGGTTTATGGTATTTTCGAGGGATGGGATTATTTTTGTCATTGAGAATAAATAAATTCTTCATTATGTTGTCCTCAGAAAATATTGGAGTCATTGCATGTCAACTCGATGAACAAATAGTTTTGTATTTATTGAGAATTGAGATAATTTTTTTGGGGGTAAAGGACAAAATTCAAGATGCCAAGTGGCAAATGGCAAATGGCAAATGGCAAGTAGCAAGTGGGAAGTGGCAAGTACGTGTTACTGTGAAGCCAACAGCGTCTTCAGGGTGGATATTGTAGGAAAGTGAGACAGGGGAAAAGCAATGCCAGTATAGAGGTGAAACGAGCGTTTTACGAGGCAGTAACGGCCGATAAGGCGAACTTGCGCCCCCCGACGGGTCTTATTCCACTACAGCACCCAAGTGGCTGTTCAACTCCCTATATCCCAGCCACTGGATTTTCCTCAACCCCAACTCCATATTTCGGCTGCACTCTGGCTTTTTTCCCTGCACGATTTTTTTTCTTTCTTCCCCTATTCCCTCATTTCCATCGCCATCCCTCACTCTAATTTATAAGAATCGTTACATTCTTTTGATGCGAATTCCTCGTTAATTGATGTTCTTAATTAGCCATTCGTTATCGCGAATTGGTATTCAACGGTGGCAGATTAAGCTTCCAGTTTTGGTGCGTCAATTATTTTTGGCTCGTACACGACTGGAATTCGAAGGCCAATTAATTTCAAAACTTGTCGGTGGACGCTGTTATATACCAGTTCCATAAAAAAAAATTTCAATGAGAGAAAAAAAAAAGTGGCGATGTACTTATCATTCGTAACTAATGCTCCCTGAAAAATTTGCTCCAGGTGCAAATGGCTTGCGTCGACGTGGCCGTCAGACGTACACCCGTTATCAAACACTGGAGCTGGAGAAAGAATTTCACACGAATCACTACCTCACAAGGCGGAGGCGGATCGAGATGGCGCATGCGCTGTGCTTGACGGAAAGACAAATAAAAATTTGGTTTCAAAATCGCCGAATGAAGCTGAAGAAGGAGATCCAGGCGATCAAAGAATTGAATGAGCAGGAGAAGCAGGCACAAGCGCAAAAAGCAGCAGCAGCAGCGGCCGTTGCCCATCAACAAGGGGGTGGAGGACCCGACGGGGGTAACTAGGGGTACGCCCTTCACCGGAGCCCCCCTGATCACCCAAATGCCAATCAACACCATCCACTGCTAGCACCACAATGTACACAGCTATATTAAGGTGAGTCATTCAAACTTATACTATTAATCAAGCCCCCCTTTGACCTTCAAATACTTTGACCTTCAAGATAGTCAAACCGTCAATTTGTCCTTCAGCAATGTCACCCAATCTATCACCCTCACAACAAGTTTAAACAGTAGTATTTGAAGGTCAAATCCCTCGATTATTGACCTCTAAATAAAGTCTTCAGAGGTTAAACTGCGGTCAAATCAAGGGTTAAACAAAGGGTTCAAAGGGTTCTAGACAAATTCATGGCCTTGAATTGAAGATACTGTACAGACCGCAGTATCACTCGAGTTTTTTAAACTTAGCACTTGCGGTTGCGGTCAGACAAAAACGGAAAGACTCAACTCGAGGTAATCAAGTAGAAGCGAGTAGTCAAGTCCCAGTTGAATCACGAATCTACAGAATTTCAGCGTTAAACGTATAACGAACCGTCGGCCAGAGAGAACTATCTCTTTTTAGGTACGTGTTAAACGAGAGCGTGCTTGCGCACGCGAATGGAATAACTTGGGGAATTATGAAGGTACACGCTCGCGCGCGGTTTAGCCTCATTAGATATACCGTCGAAAGATATCTTTCGAGATGCAGAGGGGTGAGAGCTCTTTGCACTCCAAGTGTACGGGATAGATGGATCAGTGCTTTCTTTTTCCATATTTGCCGGCGGCTCCATGACAGCCTGCCTCGATAAATAAATAGCATCGAGAATAAACAACGAATTATAGTGCGTAGAGGTATGGACTTTCAGCGGGGGGTAAATTGCGCTCCCTTGACCAATCCACGTCAGCTTGATGCATGGGTTTGATACAGTATGCCGTGTTCACCGTCGGGTAAATGGAGTTATAATTCGCTTAGGGTTCATGGGAATTTCGAATTTCTTTTCAATTTCTGGGGGAAGACGTTCTAGTCATTGAACGAAAATCATTCCGAATATCTTTGATCAAGTGGTGAAGGGATTTGGCTTGAAGATTTTTTTCGGCTTTTCCAGGATTGTTGTTGTTTTCTTCCCACACTTGTGCCAGAAAAATTCAAGTGGCCGCGAGTCGCTGAAGGGACATTAATCAACGCTGCACGATTCGTTTATCAAATTTACGATCATTCCTCGCGATCTCTCCGCAAGATCAAGTACATCCGCATCACGCAACGCACAAAAACTCACACCCGTGACTTCAACTCTGGTTTCTTTATTTCATTTCTTTCCGCACTACCCAAACCTCTGGGGATTGGTGCACAAGGGTGGGGAGGCAAAAAGTGAAACGTCGGACTTTTTTACGATGCTCATTGCTACCCTTCGCATCGAGGAAATACCAGGGACTGTTTTACGATGGCTCTTTCGAGAAACTACCCGTCAGGATGCACTGCAGGTAAAGAGAAATTTTCATAGCCAATTCTCAGATTCCCCTTGACCGTAAACGTCGAAAAAAAAAAGAATCTCAATGCACCCATCGGCCATAAAAAAAGGTCCAGTAGATTATCCGCACTTTCCCTTTTTTTCCACTCTCTATTTTCCCTATTTTTGTTTTCTTTTTGTCACTCATCGCCGAAAAATTTCTCCCGCGGCCAGATGTTTTGAGAAATAACGACAGTTGCCGTCGGTTCTTCATACGAGTCGCGAGTGAAGAGTGACGAGAGATACTAGTTGAAAGAAAAAAAAAAAAATTCAAACCACTGGTATTTGTGAGCCTCGAAAATCTGGTTAAATATTTTCTTTTTTATTTATTACCCGCCTGTCACGCCATTCCTATTCTTAGTCCCGAAGACAACATTCATAAACGCAATGTGATAAATCGTGGAGTAGAGTTTCCAGGTCGGTGGAGACATTGTGCGAGCATACGAGAAACGGCAGTGCCATCGCGATAACTATATAAATCCCTTGAGTTTCAATCTCCGTGTGATCTTGTGCAGACGGAGAACGATTCCATAGCGTAGCGTTTATGGAAATTGACGAAGTTGGCATGACACAATTCACGGGATCTTCCGGGTTGGGACAGTGGAATGATCACCATTCCAAGTTATTCCACACCGGCGGTCTAAAAAAAAAAACCGAAATTCAATATAAAAATTGGAATCCGTAAGTGAAATCGCTGAGCAATTTGACATTGCCATCCGTCACGTGAATCAACTGAGAGAATAAAATTCCGGAGTGTCTCATCCATTGGTAATTGACACATCTCCCTGGAAGAACCAACTCGTCTCAATAAAATGGCATCAGCATCTGGTGATCACCTGGTGCAATCTTCGGTAACAGGCCATTCCGAAGATAACAACCCTGTTTAAGGTATATATATGCACATGTACATCAGAATAGCGGGGAATCGATAGGGCACAAGCCGCGGATCGCACATAGCCACTGGGCAAAAGACTCAACGATCTAAGAGCGTTCATTCGCACGTAATAGCTGTAATTCTCGTTTGTCTGGTGCGCCGGCGGCTGATTCTCGTCTCAGCAATCACCAATCCTGATGATTTAACCTCGATGGATCTCAGGACTCCTTCCACTGTCCCGCGAAAAACCAAATAGACCACATGCCATTCGGTTATTACGAGAGGAGATCCTGTTCGACCTAAACTTGGTGCTTGGTATCTTATAAGTCACCAAGATCATGAAGCCACTGGGTAGAAGAACCATCGGATTAATGCGAAACTCGTGCGAAAGGACGAGCGAAAGAGGTAGAGTGATACATTGGAAAAATATTTTGCTCACCCGTGTTTGGTTGATCCTTGGTGGATATTCCCGTCACGAGCACCCACTGCCCATTTTCGTACATTTGCGCAATTAAGAAGTTGAAAAAAAAATCGGGGTAAAATTATTTACAGTCCTTCAGCCATTGCTGGTTGTTGATTAATACATAAACGTCTTCGATCCTGAGAAAAACCCGGATCCTTACGACTTCTTTCCTCAGCGCATTGTGAATTTTTTTTTTCACCGAGAGGAATCGCTAGACGTTTCTGCACTGAATAGGTCCCAGTTCCATTGTATTCAAACGAGTATAATTAAATTATTCATAGCAAAAAGGTACATGAGTATCTTGCAATCGAGAGCATGGTCGAACTGTCATGCATAACGGAGTTGGAAAAAAATATTTTCCGAAAGAGGAGAGTCGCCCTTAGGTATCCTCATGGACGTATCAATTGTGAGCTCCACATGTTTGTGTTGAAGTTAAAACGATCATCAGGTGAACTGATAACAATCCCGTCCATTCATTGAAATAATAAAGTGTCAGTAGCGCCATCTAACAGAGTTAACGACATTTTCCTTAGTTATGGCTGCCCACTCTCTCGTCGGATCAGTGGGCGTGGCCAGGGGGCGGGTATCAGTGGCCGCAGGATCCTCTACTCGTTAGGAGGCAAAAAAAAAAAACAACTCACCTCAATGTCCCATAAAAATTAATTAATCAAACACACTGGTGTTCCATCAAAAAACTCCCACTTCACCAAGTACTTTCATCTCATCTCTCATGAATGAGAAAGCAGTTTGAAAAGTTTGCCGCCGTTCTAACGAATTGGCCTTTAAAGGCTGGAGTAAATGATGTAGTCCTGCGCGAGGAACTACTTTAACTTAATGATCCATTCGGTCGACCGGTGGCAGCACTACATCACAATAGAATCCATGATCTCTACATTACCGACTCCCGATAGGTCCTCAGGTTTATTTACGGTGACCCCCACTAGCGGGTTCGTTGTGCCTCCACCAGGTTCGATGATCGTACGTCATGGCTGTTTATGGTTTGTTTTTATCGACGGTACTACACCTCACTCGTCGTAACGTCCTTCCGGCGGGCCGTCCCTGTGCACTCGACCGTCGGATCGGATCAGTCGAAAAATTTTCTCACCCATCAATTCCACGGCTGATCATTGGATCACTAAAATTTCCAAATTGATTGATTCAATGCAAAACAAATAGGCAATTTTTATTGGGCCGTAAAGTGACTCCCTAAACTGGTCAGATTGATGTTGCCGGGTTACACCGTCAAAGCAATAGGGAAGGATCTTTATTGGCTGTAAACGAAGACATTTACGATCCATAAAGGCGTGAGTCGGGGTGAATGTGTAGTCTTACCTCTACAGGCTCCTCGCCTGGGTTACGTAACCCCATTACCCCTTCTCTATCATCGTCGGTTCGCCAAGGGCGGCCGCCACTGGCACGCGCCCGTACCCGGTGACTCGAGATTTACAGGTTGCGCTCACCGGTAACACCTCGTAAACTTGGCTTAACGACTCCAACCGGGCCTAACTGCTTCCTTCCTGCAATCAGACCTCAACCTGAGCTATGAAATTGTTGAAAAAAGACACTTGGAGTTATATATTTTGATGCTCCTCCCATAACTTTCAAATTTCTGTTTATTTTTCCTCCTCCCTGTGTTTTTATTCACCGCTTTATCGCTCCACTTCATCGACTTCACCCAAACGTAAACAATCCTCCAATAGACAGTGGAGTATGTTCTTTTTTACCCCCATCCTCCGAGACTTCATGTAAACATAAACATTGAGTCAATAGGCAGAAAATGGCAAGCAGTTTGTTTACATCCTGCATCGATAGGTTGAAGTACGAGTAATCGTGTAGATCGTTATCTATTAAGCCAAGCACAGCGTCTAATCATCCGCGTAATAATGAATGCTAAAGTTAATGACCTTGTTCACGACCCAGGGCACACGCAGCTCTATGATTTGTTTTGATTGCACTTCATTAAAACTCCTCTGCATCTTTCATTATGCGTAACGGCCAGCGATATATCGCCATTGTTGATTTTATCGTGACATTTATGAGAGTCATTATTAGGTGATACTACTGTGTGAGGATCGTAAAGGCTACGCCTTTGCGGTCTGGCTCGTTTGTCGTTTTGGAGTGGGAGCATCTGGAGGTGGGGGACAGGCTCTAGGTCGGCGTGGTCATAAAGTTCAAGGAGAGGGGAGTCATCCGGGTTGAAGGATTGTCCGCTAGACAGCGCTCTCATGTTGTACTGAGAAAATAAAGACAAGTCCCCCACATCCCCCAATTAC